TGTTGGACTTTTTTGCGGTTTTCATAACCCATCAGTCTTATTTATTTATTTGCTTAAACGATTTTCAGTGTGGTTTTTATTTTTTTCTCAAAGTGGACTAAAATATTGTTGTTAATTAATATTAGAATGTCAAAAAAAGTAGGGGAGAGGGCGAGGAGGTCTGGTCTTGTATGGGCTTGATTTCAGTCCATTCACTAATATCTTTTTTTTTGAATAGAAGTTGGAAAAGTTTCTAAACAAAGCTCTTTACAAATTGGCCATGCCTGGCGCTTAGTTGTTTGTTAGTATTTGTCTACGCTTCGGAGTTACGGGTTAATTCGAGATTAAAATCTTTGTTTTTTATGGTCATCTATGCAACTCGATTTACAAGTTTGAGTCGGCTGATGTTTTTTTTTCTTTAGTTTTTTCTTCTATTAACTCAGATCGATCTATTTCAAGCCACACCGTTTTCCAATGCAAGTGTCCATATATACGTGTATGTTTGTGTGTGTGTTGGTGATCTCCATGCATATGTATGGCATCTTAGATGGATATGACGAAAAGAAATGAAAGATGAAGTGAAAATGAATAGCGGCATTCTGTAGATCTCAGGCAGAAACAAATGACTAGATTAACTCAAACATGTTGCAGTTGCAGTTAGTTGGCAGGGACGTAGTCTAAACTTCCCAAAAAAGGGAGGGGGCAACTGTAAAATCTTAAAATGTCTTTTGGAAATTGGAAAATGTTCTCCTCAATGCCCCCCTTATCAACCACGTCTCTACACCTTTTGTCACTTCTCTTGGCCATCGCCTTAAGTAGCTACAGTTAGCTTGTCTTCTTGTTGTGTGATAAGAAATCGAAAGAAAAAAAAACAGGTATAAATCTTTTGAGCTGGAATTTTTCTTTAAGCCAACTGTTGTATAAGCCAGCTTAACCGAAAAGAGAGACAGAGAGGGGAGGGGGAGATTAAGTGCTTTACCTTTGCTTGGTGTAATATTGATCTTTTATTTTTTGTTAACAGATGTGTGGCCGATGCGTTTTTGTACATCTGTGTGTGTCTGTGTGTGCATATACAATATCGATCAGAGTTTATGGTCTTTTTTTCGAGCGGATCTTTTCATAGCTTCTTTTCATGTTTTTTTTCTCGATCGTCGTATTCCACTACATGTTATCATCAACGATGTTGCTGTTGTTTTTTTGTTGTTGTCATCTAAAGAAGGAATGGCATGCAACACATTAACAAGACACCACAGCCAGGCATACAAATGCAACACAAACACACATACATACATACATATACATATATGTGCATCAAAAAAATCGAAACCTGTCTCTGGAGATGGGCCCACGTTTTACTTTAAAGCATCCCATCGATGCAGTGACGGCCAGAGGAATCTTGTGGTCACCACCACCACCATCTCCATTTTAGCCAAGTCAAGTCAATCGATCGCTTGGCGGCGGCGACTTGATGCTGCTGATGATTTGCTACTGGATCTCCTCAAAGAAACAATTTTGTGTTGGCTTGAAAAAGAGAATTTCTTGGTCATGTTGTTGTTTTCGTTGTTGCAATAATGTTTTAGTGCATTTTGTTGTTTTTATTTTCTTTTTTGTTGTTATATGATGGCACGCATGCTTTCTTTGCTGGCGTAAAAATAAAACCAAAATGCGTACAACGTAGGCAGTGTTTTTTTGCAGTTGTTGTTGTTGTTTTCGTTTTGTTGCTGTTGTTGTTTTACTAGTTCCGAGGAAATCATACCAAAACGTTTTATAATTAGCGTTGCTGATGTTTATTTTTTCTCAGGAGTTATAGACCAAAAATGAAAATAAATAAATACTTTGGTAGCTTGACGAATTGCCGCTAAAGGCTAGCGACAACAACAACAGTCACAGTGGCAGTTAGTCTGTTGTTGTTATAACGCGAGTTAGTGTTCCATAGTAGAAATGCTGTTTACACTCGAAAAATACCTATGAGACAAGTGATTGGAATAATTCCTAAGAAATCCAAGGCAATAGACCTTGAAAAAAAAAACCTTTTAAAATTCGGTTTTGAAAATCCTCGATATTTTTTTCTAATTATTTAAAAAAATATATATTTTAATAATACACAATTGTAATTCTATTGGTGCTTTTAAAATTCTTAAAAAAATATATTTTTATAGGCCTCGAAGACCTTAAAAAATTCCTTCAGAATCCATAATTGCTGAACTGAATACTTGAAAATATTAAAGACTTCGGAAAAAAATCCACGATTTTTGGTCTATATAATATTGGAATATTGTTAACAATCCTTGATTTGGGGTTTGAAAGGCCTTCCAAAATTCCTATTAAAAAAAAACTCTTTGTAAAATTCTTTAAAAATCTCACAATTGAATGCCTTAAAAGTCTTTAAAAAAAAAAAAAAAAAAATCTTAAAAAATATCAATAACAGCTCTTGGAAAGGTTTCTTTAAAAACCCACTATTATAGTTGTGAAATTCATTATCGGAAATTTTTAAGAGATCCACGATTTAAGTCTTTGTAGTTCTAGATGAAATCTTACAAAATTGAAAGAAAAAAGAAAAAAAAAAAATAACAATACTTGATTTTAGGTCTGTAAGACCTTCCAAACTTATTATTTTATCTTTGCATTAGAAAAACGATATAAAAAAGTCTTCAGAATTTTACGATCGAGGCTCATAAAGGTTTTGAAAAAAAAATATTAACAAATCCACGGAATTGAAGGAAAGAAACAACGATTTTATATATATTGTAGGTTCTTAAGTTAAAACAACAAAAAAAAAATCCAAGAATGCTGTGTTAAAAAAAAACGTTGGAGACATTTATTAAAAAAATAACGATTTTAGACCTAAAAAAATCTTCAAAAATGTGTGGATATAAGGTAAGTTCTCAAAATTGAAAAAAAAATCCTCGATCCTCGAGGTCTGAAAGGCCTTAAAAATTACCCACAAATCTACAATTTTGTTTCTAAAAGCTCTTGCAAAAACTTTTTTCAAACTCAACAATTTTGTGTTCGAAAGAATTTGCAAAAAAATTAAAAAAAATGTAGATGTAAAATTCAATAAAAATCCGCAATGGTATTCATTTGAAAAAGGAAAAAGCCCACGTTTGTTGATCTGTGAGGGACTTTATAAAAATTCTTTACAAATATTCGTTTATAAATCTGAAAGTCATTGAAAAAAAATCTTGAAAAAATCCAATTTTTTTGATCTGAAAATCATCAATTCCTTAATAAAAATTCACATTCATTGATCTGAAAATTATTGGAAAAAAAGTCATGTCTGAGATCTGAGTGGTCTTGAATAAAATTCTTAAAAAATCCACGTTTGTTGATATTAGAGAACTTTAAAAAATTCTTAAAAAATCCACGTTTGTTGATATTAGAGAACTTTAAAAAATTCTTAAAAATCCACGTTTGTAGATCTGAGGGACCTTGGAAAAAATTCTTAAAAAAATCCACGTTTGTTGATATTAGAGAACTTTAAAAAAATTCTTAAAAAATCCACGTTTGTTGATATTAGAGAACTTTAAAAAATTCTTAAAAATCCACGTTTGTAGATCTGAGGGACCTTGGAAAAAAATTCTTAAAATAATCCACGTTTGTTGATTTGGGAGACCTTCAAAACAACTCTTAAAAAAATCCACGTTTGTTGATCTGAGAGATCTTTGAAAAAATCTTGAAAAATCTACGCTTGTTGTTCTGAGAACCTCGGAAAAAATGCTTAAGAAAATCCACGTTTGTAGATCTGAGAGTCCTTTGAACAAATTCTAAAAAATCCAGGTTAGTTGATCCTTTAAACAATTCTTAAAAAACCCACGCTTGTAGATCTGTGGGACCTTGGAAAAATATTCTTAAAAAGTCCACGTTTTTATACCTGAGAGGCCTTTGAAAAAAATCTTAAAAAGGCCACCACTGTTACTCTTAGAGACCTTTTGAAAAAAAATCATGAATTGAATTTTTTGATTTTTTTTAATTCTACGTTTATTTATCTGAGAAACCTTGGAAATAATTCTTTAGACAATCCACATTTGTTAATCTGACAGACCTTTGAAAAAATTTATGTTTTTTTTTTTCAAAAAAAAAAAAAACAAATTTGTATGTGTTGTGGTGTATTTTACATTTAACGCCATCTATATTTGAATTTGATGATGATGAAGTTAATTGCAGTTCTTTTATTACCATTATATGACTCAATTTTGGTATGCTCTCAAATATCCCATTACAAACATGCTGAAAGCAAAAAAGATAATTTTTTAATTTCAATATAGATCGGCTTATCGACGGTCGATGGACTTTTAAAAAAATCTGGAATTTTTTTTAAAAATCTTCAACAAACTTTCCGGTTAGCAACTTACCTATAACGACCCTACGACTCACGTACTGGCCTCTAATTTGCCATTTCATTTTTCATTCATTTTTGAGTGTAACTACCATACCGCCAAGCTTTACAGCAGCAGTATTTTCTACATCACTTTCTGTTGTTAGGCCGGCGGCCACTTAATGGACCAATATTGTCCAACATGCCAATGGGTTTCCTTTGCTGATCATGTTTCCTCTGGCTTTTATCTTTGGACATAGGTTGGCTGGTTGGCTTTTCATTATGGAAAATGTTGTCGACAAATATATGTGGTGAATGCCAATTATTGTCGACCGTATACAGGGATGGTTGGATGGTTCGATGGCTGGTTGGTTGGTAGCTGACGACATGGCCAACATGTAGACCAGCTAGCTAGCTAACTAACCAACCAATCGATATCACCTTGATGTCTGAGAAAATTATTTACCCACGCAACAAATTTACACTCTGCTCCGGTGATCATGGCACATCATGGAAAATGTCGACAAAAAGAAAGTTCAATAAGAATCTAGAAGTTATTTTTCAGTATTTGAAAGTTGAATTTTATGCTCTTCTTCGCAGTAGTTCTTAAGTTTATGGATGTGTGTGTGTTTGTACAATGTTTTAAATTGTCAGTTTTAAAAATGATTTACTAATGACTATATTTCATTTTCCTTCTTTTTTACAGTTGTAATTCAAAATATGTCGGTGACTTTTGTGAATATCAAAATCCTTGTCTGACGGGACCGGGACGCTGTCAAAATGGCGGCACCTGCCAGGTCTCATATCGCAACGAAAGTCTGGGCATTACTTGTATCTGCCCATTGGGTTTTGCCGAGTCGCTGTGTGAAATAAAACTGCCCAATGCCTGTGATTCATCACCCTGCCAGTATGGCGGGACGTGTAATCTCAAGACCCTGGATGATTACACGTGTGCTTGTGTCAATGGTTTTACAGGTAAGGAAGAAATAAATTTAAATTATGTTACTGTTGAGAAAAAATCCTTAAAAAATTGTTATGAATACTGGCTTCTAATCATTTACCTCTTGTCGAAATTTTTCTCTTTGCAAAAATACTTCGAATGGACAAATATTCAAAGTATGGACTTTGTTACAAAAAAAAGAACGCCGTTAAAGAGCAATATAAAAAAATAAATATAGATGGCATTAACTACAATTGATGGTCTAAATATTAAAAGTGAGGGATTATTAGAACTTTTCTAGGTTTCGTCAACATTGCCACTTCGATTTTAATATCAGTTTGTGTGGCGTAATTCCCCTACAACTGTTGCTGCCTAAAAGTATGCACTGCGTGAAAAAAGCCGTTAGATAACAATATAGCAATTTGAATATAGATGGCGCTAACTGAAATAAGTGGTCTGAATATTAAAACAGACGGATTTAGAGTATTTCGATGTGTTTTAATCGCATTTCCAATGCGACTTTGCTAAACGCTTGTCTGAAAAGTCTCCCTGACCTATTATTTTTTCATATAATCTATTTATAATCTTTTGCCTCTGGTTTATCCCAAAAATGCTCCCCGGTCTGCAGTCCCTCTAATATGACTCAATAACCTCTACATCGCTTATAGACTCCATGATCTTAAGTTTGTACAAAAAGACTCCTCATCTTGCTATATTTTGGCAGTTAGAAAAAAATCTGAATATAAATAATTTAACGTTTAAAAGCCCTTAGTATCATCTATATTACATTTTCCACATCTTGTTAATTGTCTTTTTTTATTTCTACCAAGGAATAAGTACCTAAAACGTTCAGTACACCATATAATTAGTTTCCCCGAACACTTTAAAATTTGTTATACGTTTTGTTTAACGCCATCTGTATTCGAAAATGATATTGTTGTTAATAACCCTTCTATTGCTACCATGGACAAATCCCTTCAAATTTTCAAAAAAAAGAAACATTTTTCACAAAATACTTTGTCATTATTTTGGTGTTACATTTAACGCCATCTATATTTGAATTTGGTAATGTTGCTAACTGCCTTCCTGTTGCTGCAATGGGGTGTGTATCTTAAATCTATCAATATACCGAAAAATCAAACTGTCTCGCCAAATGCTTTAACATTTCCCAGGAGTTTAACAGTTTCACAAAATAGTTTGAAATTTGTTGAGTTCTATTTTGTGTTTTTTTACATTTAACGCCATCTATATTTGAGATTGATAATGTTTTAAATTACCATTCTGTTGCTATCATTATTGGGCCCATTTCCTCTATGCCTCCGAGCCTCGTATGTCAAACATATTAAAGACAATAAATGGAAATTTAACAAATATAGCTGACATTAAATCCAAATATAGATGGCCTTAGATTATAATATAGATGGCGTTAAATGTAACACCTAATAAAATTATCATGAAATATGGATAGGTCATCATTTCCTGTGCATGATTTGAGGAATTAATCCGAGTTCCACCATGTTACAGCCAAAAAGGGTATACAAACCAACCAATTTTAAAATTCAAATATAGATGTCGTTACATGTAACACAAATTTTAAATGAAAACAAATTCCAAAATATTTTGCGAAACAATTTCCTTTTTTAGAGTTTTGAAAGGTTTTAGGCACATATGTCATGGTAGCAATATCCTTTCCATTAACAGCATTAGCAAATTCAAATGTAGATGGCGTTGAGTGTGGCCAACAACAAAATATCTGACGAATTCCTAATTTTCGAAAATTTAGATACTTTAACATATTGAGAGGTTATAATAGGAAGGAAAAATTTGTCCGATCATTTTCAGGTCCGCTTTTTAGTTAGCTTTTAAATTATCAATTCAAATATAGATTGCTTTAAATGTAACACAATTATCGACCGTGAAAATTTTCAAAGTATTTAAAGAAACAGTTCGATTTTTTGGTTAGATTGAAAGGTTGGTTTTGGTATTGTGCAATACAATTTTGAAAAGTTTGCCTAAAAATTTCCAGGTCCGCTTCTTAGTTAGCTTCTCAATCACAATTCAAATATAGATGGCATTAAATATAACACAAAACATACCTCGTAAAAATGTTTAAGAATTTGAAGAAATAGTTAGATTTGTTGGCATATCGAAGGGTTAGTTTCGGTATTTTGCAATACAATATTGAAAATTTTTCAGGACCACTCCCTTGTCGGCTTCTCAATCATCAATTCAAATATAGATGGCATTAAATGCTAGACCAAACATAACTCGTGAAGAATTTCCAAGTATTTGAAGATTTTTAGATTTTTTTTGGTTAGATTTAAAGGTCGGTTTTGGTATTTTGCAATTACATTTTTAAAATTTTGTCTAGCAATTTTTCAGGTCCACTTCTCAGTTTGCTTCTCAATTATCAATTCAAATATAGATGGCATTTAAAATCGTGAAAATTTTCAAAATATTTGGAAAATTGGTTTTGGTGTTTTGCAATACGAGTTCGAAAAATTTGTCTAACAATTTTTCAGGTCCACTTCTTAGTTAGCTTCTCAATCAACAATTCAAATATAGATGGCATTACATGTAAGACACACAAAAAACGTAACTCATAACAAATTTCAAAGTATTTGAAGATTTTTTTGGTTAGATTGAAAGATCTGTTTTGGTATTTGCAATAAAATTTTGAAATTATTTCCTTGAATCTGATATAAACCCAGGAGATTTCGATTGTTAATGCAACATTTTCGCATTGTGTCAAACTTGGAACGAGTTAAAATTTGTATGAAACCTTGGACAAGTTTTTTTTGGTGGATTTCATTGGCCCCCCTCGTGGTGCGACCATTCACAGTGCATCGTGCATCGAAGGGTGTTCCTACTTGGGTCAGATTATTCCAGTACTTTAGCCAGCTTTTACAAGCTTTGACAATAGTCATTTTTTCTGTTTTCTCCCCCCAGAAAATGACCCCCCCAACATGTATATGTTTATAAATCTTTTACTTATTTCCATTATCTCTTTTTTCCTCTCTTCCACACAGGCAAACATTGCGATACAAAGAATATCTGTGCAACATCCCCGTGCCACAATGGCGGTACGTGTACATCCATTCCGGGTGTGAGGAACTACAAGTGCATTTGCCCTGCGGGATTTAGTGGGCAAACGTGCAGCGATGATGTCGAAGAATGCAACAATAATCCCTGTAAGCATGGCGGAACCTGTGTCAATACTCATGGATCATATCAGTAAGTACACACATATATAAAGATACACACACATACATGCATTTATACATATGTAGTACAATTATTGTGGCCTTAAATATAAACCATTGTATGCCGGCCAATTTTCGCCCTTTGGCCAAAATTCAAAATAGCTTCGTGGCATTCAAAACCTCATAATTTTTCTGAAGATCAAACGAAGATGGGTAGTCAGGGGTAATTAATGGCTATTTAAAAACCATTTATCTTGTATTGACTTGTGTGTTTAATAACATTTGCATATGAATGGCCTTTCAAATGAATTTCAGTGCCGAAACCAGAGCTTGAGGTGGGAGGAGGGAGTATGGGGTGAGGGATCGGAAAAAAAACAAAGAGGAATATATTTTGTTATATTTTATTGAAATTGAAAAGTCGAAATGTTTAACAAATTGACAACAAAATCCAAGACTAATTTATGGCGGCACACACCGGGCTTGGTGGAGATTTCTTCTTTGTCCAAAAGTTTTTTTTTTTGGCAAAAAAAAACAAATAATCAACTGACAGCCTAATTTATTTTATTTATTTAAATTTGATTGTGAACAGCTAATTAGAATAAATAAAACATTTAATATAAATCAAAATCAACAACTGCCAGATGGACGGACGGATGGACAGCCGGACGATTTGTTTAGACATTTGTTTTTATTGATTCATCATCGCCAAACTAACCAAAAAAAAAACAACAACAATGGCCCTTGGAACCTCTGCCTTTGACCATTGTTGATTTAGTTATTCAAACACGATCAGACATGCCGAGTTTCGTTATTGTTTCTAAACTGTGCGCCTCAAAATTTCTCACATTGATTTGAAACCTCGGTTTCCGGTCATGACATTTTACTTGGCTCTGGGTGTTATAAAACACATGTCGTCCGTCGTAGAATGTGAATTTACAGCCAACTAAACAACCGTCCAACCACCTTTGCCGAACGTTATCAGTGAATAAAGAGAGCAAACGAATAGAGCAAAATTTGCATTTTTAATTTTCAAATATTGAAATTTATACGAAATGATAAAAAGAAACCTAGAAATAACGTACAACGACACATAAATTTCAAGTGAATATTTATCCTTCTTCTGTAGAGCGTCTTCTTCATAAGCTATTGTTTGTTGGCTTGGCTTGACTTGCTTGTTTTGCGGTCAAACTTTAAGTTCATACAGAACAAGCAAACGAACCAAGCCAGGCAAGCAAATAACCATATCTCTGTCATGTGTGGGGTGGTGCTCCCTCGGCTTGACATAAAAGAAAAATAACAACAACAGCAATAATTGTCTCTGTGTGTTTTCTTAGTCCATCAATGACTGAGCTCTGTCTGTGTCCGTCTGCAACACATCTCCCAGTCGTCGAAGTCGTAAAAATGTTGAATTTATTCTACAGTAGCTGATTTTTCAAAATGACAAAATTAATGGCAACAATTGACAGTTTTATAACTGTATTCGGGACAACATTTTTTTTGAATAGAAATTTATTTGAATGTAATAAAAATAACCACAATAACAACAAATATATACAAAAAAACATCAGTTTATGACATTAGTTGAGGGAGGAGTGCCTCAATAACTATAAACCAGGTAAAAGAGTATCAGTCGGTTTTGCCGACAAATGTATATCCCCAGCATTAAGATATTATTATTCAAACTGTTGACCCTTTATGGGAGAGGTTCCGAAGCAGTTGGCCAATATTGACCAATTCGTATCTGACCTAAGACTGATACAAAATACTACGAAGTGCCATATTTGGACTATATCTACTACTCCCTATAATTTATATGAGATATTTGCAAATTTTTGGATAATATAAAAATATGCGTGAGGTCCCGAAGTACTCCATTTTCATACTTCATCTATCTACAGATAAAAATATTGATATGTGCAAAATTTGAAGGACATCGAACATTTATATCCAATTTTATGTGAAATCATAAAATTGGATAAATTCCATATTCATATCAGATTTCTGGTTAGGTGCAACATGACAGAAATATGAAACATGTCATATGAAATATGACAGATATAAGCATTGGAAATTGTGACCCTTTATGGGTGAGGTACCAGAAGGGGTTGGCAGATATGTACCAACTTCAAAACAGATCTTGCGTTAGCAAAAATATTTGAATTTGTGAAATTTGAAGAGAATTGGATGCTTATTTCGCATTTTATGAGCATTTTGTTTCTTTTTTAATCTTGAACCCTTTGTGGGGGAGATATCAGAAGAATTGGTTCGATCTCCAGCATCTTTATAACAGATCTTGTGTTGATGGAAATATTGAGTTGTACCAAGTCTGAATGGAATCAGATCAGTTATTTCGTGTTTTATGAGCCTCATGGTTACTCAAAATTTTGACCCTTTGTGGGGCGGAACCAGAATTAGTGTACCAATATACCCCACATTCACACCATACCTTGGGCTAATAAAAATATTGTGATGTGTGTAATTTGAAAAGAACCGGATGCTTATTTGGGATTTTATGTTCGTTTTGGTTATTCGAAATGGTAACCCTATATGTGGGAGGTACCAAAAGGTATGGTCGAATCTCAACCTTCTTCATAACAGATCTTGTGTTGATGAAAATATTGAGACGTGCCAAGTCTGAATCGGAATTGGATGTTAATTTCGCGTTTTATGAGTTTCATGAATATTCAAAATGTTGACGATCACCACAACCTTGTGGTGGAGGTACCAGAAGGAGTGGTCCGATATATTCCATCTTCACACCAGACCTTGGTTTAATAAAAATATTGTGATGTGTGTAATTTCAAGACAATTGGACTCTTACATCACATTTTATAAGATTTATAATTATTCACAATTTTGACCTTTGTGATGGAGGTACTTTATGGAGTGGAACGATATTGTCCATTTTTGCACCTGACCTAGCACTGATGCAAATATTTGGATTTGCAAAGTTGTAGCAAAATTGGGTTATCCTTTTTGGGTGCAGTAAATTATTTTCTTTGAAAATTTGGACATTTTGTGGGGGAGGTACCAGAAGGAGTGGATCGATATTGCCCATCTCCGAACTCAATCTAAGTTTTATAATAATATTACGATGTACCAAGTTTGGATCCAATCCGATCGAGAGTTATCGTGCGCATCAGCCAGACAGACGGACGGACGTCGCTAGATCGACTCCAAATGTCCTGAAATGGATTTGATCCAAACAGACCTAGGGTCTAAAACTGTTATTTTGATTAGGCACTTTTGACCGTTTCAAATGATATATACCCTCTCTAGCCATATGGCTAAGGGTATAATAATTGCCGATAAAATCTAGGCCATGACTACTTAACAAATAAAGCCATATTATTCCGTATCGAACGCCATCTTTACTGAAACTTCTCTAAATGGAAAAAAAAAACAACGGAATGTTGCTTATATATAATTTGCATTAAACACTATTCATAGCACCATTTCAAAATTGTTCGTTGGCTAAGTTTTTCCCTCAGTAGAAGGATAACGCCCAAAAATCCTTGATTAACTGATACATGCAACGCCACCTATACTTCGGTTAATTTCTTTACTTATCCATAGGGAACATTTATACTTCTAGACGTTGAAATAATAATGACGTTTTTTGAATTTGATTTCTGCAAACGAACTAGGACTCAAATTCAGATTCAATTCTATTCATTTTCGGAACATTAATTCAAAATTTCAAAATTTTAGGCAAAAAATAAAAAATTTTCTAGGCCAAACGACTTACTTTTCCCTTTTACAAGTTTATGTGTAATTACAAGGGTCCGATAAAGTCTCAAAACTATTTTTGATGTTGGTTAAACTGACGCATTGATGGTTGCGAGTTCAAATTCAGCATTGGTAAAAATAAATTTGTATGTTGTGTTCAAATTGACATACCAATTATCTGGGGTTTAGAGTAATTACTGAGCACACTAAACCCAGTATTCAAATTTAATCGAATAATGTGGGAAAATACCATGTTTTTCATTATTCAAATTACATCTGTGTACCAGAAAAATAAAAAAAATATTGAACTGGCAATTAATATATTAATTATTTTAAATAAATTTTGTTTGGGTCACATACCCCCCAAAATTACCTGATTTCCCAAAGAAAAAGCCCCTCCAGACACCATTATTAATAACATAAATTAGCCATAATTAAATCCAAAAAATAATAATAAATTTGCTTTCAAAACCAGGCAACAATTTAGACTTTATGTAACTTATAAGCACAAAAGTACAAAAACGACGGTAAAGTTTTTTTTTACTTTTAAAATATTACGTTACCTCGTAAAAAATCGAAAAAACAAAACTTTACCCATCAATTAATAATTTTTCTCGAAACAAATGAAAATAGACTCGGTGTCATTAAACCAATATGATGAGACCTTACTAATATTGGCCATATATATATTAAATTTACAAAACCAAAAAAAAAAAAAATCTCATACATTTTGGTTAAAACTGCTTCTTTAAAGTAACACACGTTAGGCATCTGCGAAGAGACGAGGAACGATCAGCTTCCAAGTATTTGTTTTGCTTTGGTTGTATTTTTTTTGTTTTCCATCTTCCTCTCTTCATGTAACATCAATCATTAAATATCGATATATCATTAGTTGGCTCTTAAATATCCAAACTCCCCCCGCTCTCCAACCCATGTATGTCTTTTTGCTGTTGGTATTCCTCTGAAAATTTAAATGGCTTTTTTATTACGTGCGATTTTTTTGGAATTTAAAAAAAAAATATTGAAAAAAAATTAAAGTGTAGCCAATCACATTAAGTGTTAAGAGCTTGTAGTTGTTGTTGAGGAGGGTATATGACTACAGTCCATAATAGCCTCAATAGTAATTTAATATTGTATTGTATTGATTAGATTGGGTTTTTTGTTTTATTTTTCTTGTATTTAAATCTCCGCCATGGAAATCAAAGATGGACTATGTGGGTCATAATCGATGCCAAAAACAACAATAATTTTCAAATTTATTGAGCAAATAGTTTTAATTCGTAATTATCACAACATGGTGAACTAGCGGGAAAGCATTGCTAAAATCGTTGTTTAGTACCACCTGGTCTGCGGTTATTATTTATTATACCTTCCACCATATTATGGAGAGCATATTTTTTTGTAACACATCGAAATATAGGGTGAGATGAAAAAACTGTAACCAACTCAGACTGCTGTCATTTTTACGCTACTCGTCCGACAGCTGTTAAAATTATTCCAGTGACAGCTCATTATATTGTTAACAACCTAACAAAAAGCATTTTGGTGAGAATTTTCCAGAAAAAAAGTTATTTCGGAATCGTTTCAAATTTCGTAATGATAGTTCGTAATGTGTACTACAGGCCGTGACGAAAAATTGGTTAAGCAGGTTCACGTCTTTGCATAGCCCCCATATAACGGTGCCCCTTAATCCGGCATATTAATGATTTTTATTTACCGGATCTGTTTCACATTTCGTATTTAAAGTTCGTAAAGCTGTAGTACCCAGCCTTTGACAGAAAATTTTCTATGCGGGCCCAAGTCTTCGTATAGACCCTATATAACGGTACCCCCCGATATTCAGTAGTTTGACGATTATAGCGACATTATTTGCCGGAATTATTTTAAATTTAGTATTTGAAGCTCAGAATCTGTACTAAAGCCAATGCCTAAAGATTTCGTATGCAAGTCCTGGTCTTCGTTTAGCTTCCATATGCTTTACCTCCCTTTATTCGGTATTTTGATGACATTTTTTACCCCATGAAAAAAATTACTTATACAGGTCTGCGCCTTCGTATAGGCCCCGTATAAAGCTAGGGGAGGATATTAAAAGTTCTTCCGAACATAAATTAGCTGCTTTTTTACTTTTTGAAATTTTTGGATGGATTTTAATTGTGGATATTTTTGTCGATTTTGAACGGTTAGCGGTATTATGGATTGGGGACATAACACCTACTTGGGACAAAAGTCCTTCTAAGAGCTATCCAGAGTCAGAATACCTTTAAAAGCTCTCCTAAATCCAAAAAACTCCCTTAAGAACTTCTAAATGCCAAAGGCTTTCCAAAAGTCTTCCAGAAAAAGAAAGACTTATGGAGGCGGAATACATTCTACTGATCTTCTAGAGGCAGAAGACCTTCACCCATAGAAAGGAAATCTTTTGCAGGTCTTTTATAGACATAACACCTACTTGAGGTCTGATAGAGACAAAAGTCCTTCTAAGAGTTATCCAGAGTCAGAATACCTTTAAAAGGTCTCCCACATTCAAACTTGAGAACTTCTAAATGCCAAAGGTTTTTCAAAAGTTGCCAAAAAATTAAACGCATTCCAATAGTGTCTAGAAAAAGGAAACTTCCTAAAAGTCTACTGGAGACGGAACACCTTCTAATTGTCTTCTTAAGATCTTTTAGAGATAGAAGACCTTTCAAAAGTAAACCAGAGCCAGGAAATCTTCTGTAGGTCATTTATAGACATAACACCTACTTGAGGTCTGGTAGAGACAGAAGTCCTTCTAAGAGTTATCCAGAGTCAGAATACCTTTAAAAAGTCTCCCACATCCAAAAGACCTCCTCGAAAACTTCTAAATTCCAAAGGCTTTCCAAAAGCTGCCTAGAGATTAAAGGCATTTCAAAAGTGTCTAGAAAAAGGAATCTTCCTAAAAGTCTACTGGAGACAGATTATGGTCTTCTTAAGATATTTTAGAGATAGAAGACCTTCCAAAAGTAAACCAGAGCCAAGAAATCTTCTGTAGGTCATTTATAAACATAACACCTACATGAGGTCTGGTAGAGACAAAAGTCCTTTTAAGAGTTATCCAGAGTCAGGAAACATTTAAAAGGTCCCCCAAATCCAAAAAAGACCTCCTTGAGAACTTCTATATACCAAAGACTTTCCAAAAGTTGCTTAGAGATTAAAGGCCCTTCCAAAAGTCTTCTGGGCAAAGAAAACTTCCTAAAAGTCTTATGGAGAGGGAATACTTTCTAATGGTATTCTAAAGATATTTTAGAGGCAGAAGACCCTCTAAAATTCATTCGGAGACAGGAAATCTTCTGCATGTCTTTTATAGACTGAGAACTCTCTAAAGACGGACCTTAAGGTCTACAAAAGACGAATGGCATACTTGAGGTCTATTAGAGACAAAAGTCCGTCTAAGAGTTATTCAGGGTCAGAATACCTTTAAAAGGTTTCCCAAATCCAAAAGACCTCTAAGTGTCAAAGGCTTTCCAAAGGTTGCCCTGAGATTAAAGGCATTCCAAAAGCCTTCTAGAGAAAGAAAACTTCCTAAAAGTCTTCTGGAGAGGGAATACTTCTAATGGTCTTCCAAAGATCTTTTAGAGACAGAAGACCTTCTAATCTTCTGCAGGTCTTTTATGTACAACAAAACTTTCTAAAGACGGACGGACCTTAAGGTCTACAAAAGACAAAAGTCCTTCATAGATCGCCCAGAGACAAAATACCTCTTTTGGGCCCTCTATGGTTTTGTCTTACCTCCAAAATGTAATCTGAATATAAAAGACGATCTAAAACATTCCTAGGGACAGAAGATCTTCTAAAAGTTTCAAAGTTTGCAAAAGACCTTTAGAAACAGAAGACCTTATTTATTATATCCTACAACACTATGTGTTGGAGGTATTATAAGTTTGATTGGGCCAAAATTTATGTAACACCTCGAAATGTTGGTTTCCCACATAGGGAAGTATATATGGATCTTCCTATTTAGCCGAGCTGAGTCGATCTAGCTATGTATGTCCGTCCGTCTGTCCATGTTAATTTGTAATCACTCTACAGGTCGCAATTATGGCCCAATCTCCACGAAATTTAGAATGGCGGTGGGGCTAGAGCCAGAATAGAAACCTAATGCTTTTGGGGATGATCGCATAATATTTAGGGTTGAAATGGACCAATAACTAAAAATTTCCTAATTTTGCAGTTGCATCGAGAAAAAATTTCCTAATCACACAATTGAAGCCAATCGATACGCCTGGGAAGAGAGTTAAGGGCAGGGTACATTTCTAGCAATTTAGATGACCATTGGATTATATTTAGCTGTACAATGGACCACAACAACTCACAGCACGACAGAGTGCGTAAATATTGGGCAAATGCCCCTGGTCAAAATGCTAAGGGTAATATCTGGGCAGGTTCCGTGACATAATTTCCAAAGCGAAATCTTCCAAAATGTATTTAGACATAAGGGGCTTTTAACATATTGTAGTGTTGTAGGGTATCACATGGTCGGCCCGCACCTCTATAGACTTTGCTTACTTGTTTTTCTTCATAAATATGGGTATTTTTAATATATTTTCTCATAAATCCTGTTCATAATTTTGCGTTTTTTTTTTTTAAATCCACTTTCCCTTTTATTTTTTTTTTAATTTTTAAATCATAAATAACTTATAGAAAATCCCCTCATTAATTTTTTTCCAATTATCTTTACACATTTTGTCAATTTTACTAAACCAACAAAATCTTCCCTTTCTTTTTTATTTTCCTACCACTTTTCAGGTGCATGTGTCCAGCTGGTTATACTGGTAAAAATTGTGAATCGAAATATGTTCCATGCTCGCCGTCACCGTGTCAAAATGGTGGCACATGTCGATCAAACGGTTTAACATATGAATGCAAGTGTCCAGAAGGTGAGTACCGATTGCCGCATTTTTGTAACACTCCTTGTAAACTACACGCAAAAAAATATAAGCCTCTCTAACATATGTCCCAAACATATTTTGCAGCAAACAAATATATGTTTGCAAACATTCCCAAACATAACATATGTTTGGGTGCTGCAAACAAATTATGTTTGGGTCCAAACATAATTAATGTTTGGGTCCAAACATAATTAATGTTTGGGTCCAAACATAATTAATGTTTGGGTCCAAACATATTTTTTGTTCGGGTGCAAACATAATTTATGTTTGGGTCCAAACATAATATATATTGGGGTGCAAACATAAATTTATGATTGGGTCCATTTGTATACTTACTGCAGATATAATTCAACCATAATGCAAACTAGTTTTAAAATCAATTTTTGATATTCACATTTTATTTAACATAAAAGAAATTCATACATATTATAATATATAATATAAAATTAATTGTAATAATTAATATAATATTAATATCAGTAATAAAAAATTGTTAAAAATAATAATATTAAAATAAAAATTCTAATTATAAAAATATTAAAGAAAATAAATAATTTATAATGAAACATAGTTTTTTATTTTCTTTAATATTTTTATAATTAGAATTTTTATTTTAATATTATTATCTTTAACAATTTTTTATTACAGATATTAATATTATATTAATTATTACAATTTTTATTATGCTTAAAATTATTCTTATGTTTCTAATATTAATTTATTATGTTTTAATTTTTATAAATAATATATTGTTGTTATTGATAAAGTAAAATAAACATTTGTTAATAAGTTTATAATTTATATCGTGCCAGTTTTCATAAAATTTTTATTTTATATTAATTTTTTAATTTATTATTATTAATATTATTCTTAATATTTGTTATTATTTTTATTTATTAATTTATTATTTTTCCTTTTATTACAATCACTATTTTTTCAATAAAGTAAAATACTTACAATCTGTTAGGGTCTTCTTTTAGACATTCGTCAATAAGGGCCTTCGAAATATTCACCCTATCTTTATTTTGCAGGCGTTTTTCGGCAATAAAAATTCTCCATATTTTATTGACAGCCGGAATTGACTTGATGGACTCTATGTCAGTCTTTAAAGTTGATATAACATTTGTTTTTGGGGTAAGATCCCCAAAACCACCTACGGATTCACACTCCGATAGAGTGCCACTAACTGTCGATGCTGATGCCACTGATCGAACGGAGTCTAAATGAAAATTAAATATATTATTTAAAAAAAGAAATATATTATTTAAAAAAAGAAAAAAAAAATATTAACAGCCTGTTTCTTTATTTTGAAACGAAATTTTTTTTGTTCCGACATAAAGAAACAGGCTGTAAATCCAGTGTACTTACCTCCAAATTGCAACTCAATATGAAAAGTAGGTGTTGACATATATTGATGAATTACTTTTTCAAACTGGTCTTCTTTAATGGTTGCACCAAACACTAAGGCTGTTATTTTTCTTGAGGCATCAATTTTTAACTCTAATTTGGCTGCTTTTATAAAGCTTTGTAGATTTAAAGGCTCCGGCGCTTCGACAAATAATTTGTCTTCCCCCAAAACAGTTGGTATCAACATTTATTACAACACTTGTGACACGACGCGAAGGCACAAAACAAATAAAAAGAATAAAAAAAGAACACAACCAGAATGCCAACATGAGACACGCGCAAATGTTACGCTCTTTTGTTCTCATCAAGCAAATCGGTGTGTATGCGAAAAACGCATGTATGTATGTATGCATGAACATTAGTAAGAAGCAACGTCTCAGCAACAAAAAACATCCAAACAGCTCTTTGTGTGTTGTTGTTGGCATTTTTTGGTGCATGGACAATAGAAAAGAAATAAACGTCTCAGCAACAGTTTCCATCCCTCTTGCCGCGCACACACCACACATAGTTACAGCAGCGATCGGCAGTGTTTGCTTGGTGAGAGCAAAAGAGCGTAACATTGGCGCGTGTCTCAAGTTGAGACACTCATCAACGCAAAAACAGACTTCTCACCCTCCTGTCTTCTTTTAAGTCACCTATAACACCAATTCAAAAGTAATCGAGAGCTCTGTTGTTTAGCTCTTTGAAAAAAATCCTCTCCGCACCCATAAAAAAATATGTTCTAACATATAAAATATGTTGGTACCCAACAAATAAAATTGAGTTATGTTACAAAATGTTGCAAACAAATATTTGTTTGCACCGAAACAAATTATGTTTGCATCCAAAAATATATTTGTTTGCAACCAGTCCCAAACAAATATATGTTTGGATCCAAACATATTTCTAACATATATTTTTCTGCGTGTATGTAAGCAACACTTAAGGGGGGATCACTGGAGGTGCAGCGACAAATGGCCATGGTATGCAACACGTTCCATGACAGCCAGCGCTAAAAACAAAAAAGGAACAACCTGCGAATGAAAACGAAAAAAAAAAACACTGTGGGAAATTTATGCCAATGATTTCTTATGGTTTATTAACATCCAACGAAAGGAAATTGCTGTATTTAAATTGCATTGCCCGTTTCTGGCTTTCATCATCAGAGGCAGCAGCGGCAATAACATTATTGCTGACTGACTCCTTTTCCTTTGCTGCTGCCTCATGGTGGCTTGGTCACATCAGCTCTCAAAGATGGTGTTTTTATGAAAATGAGCCTGCCCCCGTTTCCCACCTCTTTCTTGTCATAAAAGAAGTAGATTGGCTTTTAAGCCATGTTGTTTTGATTGCAATATTTATGACAATTTATGTTGCGGGTATTTTCTTCTTCTTGGTACAAATTGCGGCTGATTTGCCAAAGAAATAAGAATTGTTATTTAATCACTTTGCCATTTAAATGTCGTTGAAGTTATTTCCAATAAAAATAATTATTTTTTAGATAATATATTTATTGAAAAAAAAAAAAATATTTTCCCACTCTATTTGGCCTTTGTCCAACCTTCATTATCCTGTTGTTGGCCAAAATGTGTAGGTCGTGAAGGAAAAAAACCCGGCCAAACTGGGCTGGTTGGTGATTTGACTAAATTGAAAAATGATTTACAATTGCATGTTGTCTGTATGTTTCCAATTTTTTTCATTTTTGTAACATCTTCCTTTTTTTTCATGTTTTGTGTTCCAATTTCAATACTTGATTTTGAGAAATTGTACGCACTTTTTTGTTGCGAGTGTTCCTTTTCGATCATGCAACAAGTTAATTAAAGGTTGTGTCTGACTCTTTAGTTAAACTTATATTTATTTAAGCCAAATAAGCAAATAAGGCTAATTTTATGAAAGAAAGTGAAGGTAAATGTGCATATGTCATCTCCTAGTGCTAAAAAGTGAAGGGAGGTTGTATGTAATTATGTAGCTGTCGAAATTTTAATGATATAAAGATGTAAGGGACTTTAGAGGTGTTTTGGGCGAAGCTGGGATCTTGAAGAGAAATGCTACTCATGATATTTCAATAATTTCTATTACAGCTATCGTTTTCGTTTGTTCGGAAAGTGGTAGTGAAATTCTAAGTAGAATCATTTTTCCTTTGACACCATTTCCCCAAAATAAAGTTGTGTGGGAGAAATTGGCCCAAAACTAAGAACAATTTATGCAACCCCGGAAATTGTTTTTTTTTTTACACAATGACAAATCAATGGGGGTCAGCGCATAAAGGACACCGAGATCGGTCTGTCATGTCAGATGGTCATATATTCTATTTTTTTTCTTTTCTTTTTAATTTTAATACCCTACTTCACGTAGTGGTAAAGGTAGCAAGCGAGATATACCCATAGTTACTTTTCAGGATCTTCATAGAATCACTTTCTGAGTCGATGTATGCATTTCTGTTTCGTCCGTCTGCCATGTATTTTTGTGAACTAAATGCAGGTCGCTTTTATTATCCGTTTAAGATGAAATTTTCCATACAATATTTGTTTGACCCAAGTACGAACCCTATTGCAACTGATGAGAATCGGTTCAAATTTAGATATAGTTTCCATATATATCTTCAATTGATTTCGGTTAACAGTCCTGAATTTCAGCACATCCGACCGAATTCAGTTTAGAAGCAAGCATATCAAATTTTGGAGAAAATATAAATCAGATATAGCTATAGCCCCATATATAAGTTTTATCCGATTTGGGGTTTAAGTGCCTTGCATGCGTAATACGCACTCCATAACAATAATCTTTGGTACCAGATCACTTATGGAGCTCAAAAATTTCTCTGTCAAATTTTATCGAGATCGGATCAGATTTGGATATAGCTCATATCACATATCTTTATCCGATATCAGTTTTATTGTGCACCAAGTAGCTAATATCAGCCTAAATGGACTGAATTTTGGCAATTCCGACTGAATTCATGCTAGAAATGGGTACTTCAAATTTGGTGGAAATCGGTTCAACGAAGTCAAAAGCCATAATTTTTACTTTTTTTTTTCAAATTTTATTGAATGAAAGCAAAAAATGTCGGAAATAGTATCAAATTTTAGAATAAGTTTAGATTTGTTCGAATTGATCACCTTTGGCATGAATTGTGGCGTTCAAACGGCTAATGAAACCGTCACACCCTGCCCGAATGTTGATCTGCGGTATTTTGGAACATTCCTGGCGAAGCGCTTGCTTAAGGTGATCGACACTTCGGCATTTTTTAGTGCCAACCTTGCTTTCGAAAATATTCCAGGCACTACAGTCCAACGGTTTGGTATCCGGAGATTTTGGTGGTCATTGTGCGCTGGAAATGAAGCGAGAAACCTCATTTTGTAACCATTCTTGGGTGGCGCCTTCTGAGAGCGATGGTGCTGAATCCTGTTGGAATGTCCATGGTCTGCAGTCAAAATGTCTGCGTGGCCAAGGCTTTAATACACCCTCCAGAATATTTTCGCGATAATATTCGTCATTTATTCTGATGCCACGGTCGATTAATACGAGTGGATAGCGACCATCAGCTGTTATGGCGGCCCACACCATCATTATGGCCGGCGCTTGAGTTCTGGTGGCCAACCGAA